TGGTTTTGGTTCTGGAGCTTGTTTACAGCTCTGGGCTGCAGCAGACTGTGGCGACTCCATGCTAAAGCTGTTAATGTGGCCCTGAGGATTAGCTGCTAACGAGGTTAAATCCAGTGTCAGCAAAACAGAGGATCGGATGAGGCGCTGCAGATACCTGAGCGCCATCTCAGAGAGCACCTTAAATAAGGGTCGGACATTTTTCTGTCCTTCCTTCCTTCCTTCTCTGCTTCTTTTGCTTTTCCCGTCTCCATTCTGTTTTTAATGTAATCTTCTCTTCTGTCCTTCCCTTGTCTCCTTTCCTGCAGCCGGCAGATGTTTGACCTTCAGTTCAGCTGCATCATAAAAATTTCATCCTGTTTGCTTCATTCAATAACAGTAATAACAGTCACACAATGAGCCTTTATGCTCTGCAGTGGACTCGGGCGAACTGGGCCTTTGCTGCCCTCTTGTGGATGATCTGCGTCGGCCTCAGTTCCACACACGGAGCAGACCTGGCTCTCGTTTCTCAGCTCTCATATCTCTGACGACATTGAGTTTCTGATTGTGTTATCAGCGCCACGCAGACAGTCCTTATTTTCTTTTTCTGACCCTCAGAGTTCAGCTCGTCCCTTCGAGGGCAGCTTGAACTCAGCTCGCATTCCTCTGCATTACACCACTGTGTAAAGCTCCTCACCTCCCAGCAAGTAAACACCCTTCATCAGGACTCTTCACTTTTAAAGAACAGCTTTCAAAGGAGGAATCACATGTTTACATTTTTCTAGAACAAGTAATATTCAGAGACGTCGTTCATCCAAACAAAATATATCTGCAGCCAAAAAAAGGGGAGTTTTACACCAGCACAGATTACTGTAGATAAAACGCATGCAGCGGTATGAAACCTTTAAAGAAAGAAATCTTTTGCACAACTTATTCAGAGAAGCTAATCTCACTCATGACCCCATACTGCACACCTCGTCTTTATAGCCCCAATACACAGAAGCCAAACCCTGTACCATGAGTCCAGTCCAGCATTCCCAGGATATCTTTTTCTTATCTGACTTGTCACATTCCAACAACATTGTCGCGATCATCAGGGTGGTTCAGTAAATCATCCCAGGGTTTTCCAATCGAGCACTGACTCATGGCTTTGAGTCTGGATTTTATCCAGCAGCTGTGGAGAAAGCCGAGGGTGGTGTCATCACGGTGCAGGTCAACCTGTCGGGGTTTTTTCTGCCTGTGCTATGCACAAAATTACAAGCCATACAGATTTCAACAGAACGGGATAAACTAAAAGGATCGACCACAGACTGTGAAACTGCTTACAGCATGAAGCTCTGTGGGCTTTGTGTCTGTTTTTTCTTTTATTAACTTTTCTCACATAAAAGCTTTTTATAAAAGAGAAGCAGATAAAAAGGAAGATAAAACTTTAGCTTCTTTTTCAGGTGTTACTGTGGTGTTATTAACGAGGTCTACAATCAAGAGTTTATAA